GGGGGTAGTCTCTTTTGCACTAGCTTGAGTCTGTGTGTACTTTACACCTTTGTGGTTTAATTTGGACGGTAAAAGAATGGTCAGTAACTCCGAAAGACATTTGTAAAAAGTAATAAAATTAAATTACATTTGTATAGCGCAAATTCCCGCTCAACAACAAGCTTTATGTGTTTTACTATCTAAATTATTACCCCTGCAGACCCAAGAGCATTCTGAAACTTTCCCCATCTTTCTGGGAAGCACACAGACCCCTAAATCACTTTCCTGTAATTGCCGGTCAGGATTGTCTAGATAATTTCAACTCGGACTTAATTCTCCATACGCTGCCGCTTTATGTAGTTGTCTTTTTCTTCCTCTTAACCTTCTTCCTTTTATGTTTCATTTCTTTCCAATTCTTCTTCGTGTGCAGATGTAACATGGGCCAAAAGCCCTAAAATCGAAAACAAGACAAAACAACACTAAACACAATTTCTAAAAAATTCTTCTTTTCTTTCTTCATTTTTGTTGACCCATTTCTTTGTGGTACAGACAAAGTTGATGAGCCAGACTTTGTAGCTGGAGTCTCCTGGTGCTGTCCTCTTTACCATGTCAGTATTACAATGCACCTCATCTTAAATAGGCCTACAAGTACTTGAGTAAATATATTTCCACAAACCCATTGTTCTACGCATGATCTGTCTATCTCTTACAGTGAAATAAGGACATACAACGCATTTGCTTTACTTACATGTTGCATTCTACAATAAAGGTTTCAGTAAAAGATATTTCTGTGAAAAGATTAGGAGTAGAAAATAAATTATTAGCCTTAGTGCCATTAGCCAATGGAAATATAAACTCCTCTTTCCAGTTATTTATACAGCTCTTCAGCTCATAAACAGTGATGTGAAGTAGATTTTTACAGCAATAAAAGTTTCATCAAGACTCTAATGTTTTTTTGTATTTTATAAAAAAAACTTTTATTTCACTTCTTTCGGCGACAGTCTGTGTGTGATTAGTGGGAAGGAGAGGCTGAGACAACAAGAGAGAGAGAGAGAGAGAGAGAGAGAGAGAGAGAGAGAGAGAGAGAGAGA